TTATAGTGTTTTTTTTTTTTAAAAAAAGAAAACTTTATATTTATTGAAATAATTCAGACTAGAAAAGTACAACCAAATTACACAGTATTTTAGAAAAGTAAATAGTACTTTTGGAAGTTAAAAATATTTTCCTAAGAATAGTATAGAATTAAAATCATCTCATGTACTGGAGAGGTCCAGTCCCATGATTGGCACTACCACATGATAAGTTAATTCCACTTTGTATTTGTAATTTTATTGTTTTAGGTTGAGGACCAAATTTGAATGTTTCCAAATTCGATCTTGTTTTAAATTTGTTAATTTTTTTTTTTTTTTTTTTTTTTTTTTTTTTTTTTTTTTTTTTGGGATCTTCAATTGCAGGAACTAAAAAATTTGAAATTAAAATCGTCCTTTAATTAGATTGAATTTGTGGTTAGACGTCGAAGTTCGAATTGAAGGTTGAATTTGTTCTTTTGCAAATTTTATTCCAAGTTTGCCTCAACAAATTCCAAAGCTGCACATATGAACCCACAAATCAAAAAAAGCAAATTTCTATTTTTTTTTTTTTTTAAATTTAAATTTTTTTTTTAATTTGGTACTCATATATATCATTCAAAAGAATTATTTACACCTAGCAAAAATTGATCATGACACTTTTAAAAAAGCAAAATTCCATACTATGGATTTAAAAAATAGGGCTAAAAGATTGAATAGACTTTCGGAATCAAATGCATGTAATTTTCTTTTACAAACTTACCTTTAACCCCTTACCCAAAGAAAAAAATAAAAATATATAAGGGTTTTGAAAAAAAAAAAAAAAAAAAAGGATGTCGGACCTTAGTCACACAAAGAGGATTAGCGGATCAACAGTACGAAAATAACAAAATCTAAATCACATAAGGTAAGATCGGGAGCAGAAGCCTGAGTAAAACGTTAATCATAAATAAGAATCGAAAAAAAGACATTATATGCATTTACATATATACTATTAAATATTTATACATGTTTGTGTGTGTATATATATAATTATATTTCAAGAGAGAGAGATCTTGAATGGATTATTTATGATGTGAATGCAAGTTACCTCGAAATTCAACCAATTTTAAGTTTGACAATGAAGCTGAGTTATGAATGAATGAATAGATTATAATTAATAAAACATTAAGAATCGGTTCCCTAGCAATGTATGGTTTTGAAAGCAGTATTCGTATCTAATGCCAATTTGATAATTATAATATTCACAACTTTTTTTTTTTGATAATAGAGAATAATAACTAACCATTGTGCTGATGCACCATATTCTTAGTATTCCAAAAACGTAAATCGTTATGAGTGCAATTAATTTTTTTAAAAGTAAAACAAAAAGTTTATGTGTGTGTAAGTCATCCATGACGAAATGTCTTTGACATTATTTTAATTTTCCATAAACAATTCTTTTGACATTATCTTCTATTATTTATTTCAGGTTGGGTAGAGATTTATTTATTTATTTATTTATTTAACTCTTGAAAAAGGATCGAGTGTGAGGAAAAAGAAAATAATAATTGATTGGAAAAGGGATGTCAATTTTATTTAAAATCAACAAATTTTATATATAATTACATTGAATCATTAGTTTATTGTTTACCGTCGGTTGGCATGTCTATTGAGAATAGTTTGAATTACTATTAATCACTAATCTACCTTCAACGATATAAAGACAAAAGCATGATAGTTAGCTAATTAAAATTTCATTTTCTTACTAATAGGTCAGTGGCCTAGCGGTATCAAATTCTTATTTTCCAAAAGAAAATCAGGAGTTCTAGTTTTAGTGAAGAAGCATGTGTGTGTAAGAACCAATTAAAGTTTTTGGGTATTTTTAATAATGCAGGCGAGAAAACAGTGAACCATAGAAGAAAATTCCTTTTCATGCTAAATGGTAAATTCAGAATGATGTCACTTGTCCTTGTTTGCAAAATTTAAGTTATGCCATATAAAAAAGTTAAGGATGTCCATTTAAATCAAGCGTATGTATACATACACACATATATGTATGTATGTATATATATATATAGAATAACTGTTGTTAACACCTATTTCATATTTGTTACTTTTATATACGGTTTTTTCATTACTCTCGATTCTCCCCTTCCTCAAATCTTTATGCAAATGATGGTTTTGGATGTTAAATTCCACTTTAGAACTTTTTAAAATAAATTTTCAAATTCATCAAATTGTCAATTTAAACTTAATTTTGTCCAAGTTGTTTCAAACCCTCTCTTGTCAACTTAATTTCAAATCCATTTTAAAAAATCATTGTTTTTACAAAACATAAATCTCAAGATGTTCTATTTATTCTACAAATGCTAAAAATTATTTAAAATGTCATTTTAGACCTTATTTTTTCATTTTTTTCCTCCAAAATACCCAAAACTTCTAAAAACATTATTTTGATTATTTGATTTCGTCCCTTTTTCTAGAACCCCAAAATATTCTCACATAAAACATTTCAACCCTTATTCCATCATACTAAAAAAAAAAGCCCATGAACTTGTTAAAATAAGCTTCATTTCTCCAAACCTCTTGGTTTTCAAAAGCCCCCTCACCAAATTTGTCAATCTCATTTTCACCTTTGATTTATTAATTCAAATTTATTATGTTTAATGTTTTAATTTACCATTATGAGATGAGTTTAAGTATGAGTAGAGTTAATTCCTGTAAATAATGACAAATATTTGATCTCCTAACACTCTGCATCAATGGGATCATAATATCATGTGTATGTGTAAAAGCTGAAAAGTGAATCACATCATCAAAGTTACCATTTATTTCATAAACCAACAAACATAAAGAAAAACATCAAAGCTCACTACACAGGTCTCATTTTTCACTTTAACAATCCACACCAGACGTGTGTGTGTGGAACACTGAGGGTTTAGGCCATGAAACAAAGACATATTTGTACATGTTTCATTTAGAAATGAGGTATCTGTTAAGGGCAGTTTTGCCCACAACCCTCTTTTGGATCAACAGCTCCTTCCTGAAGTCTGCCCAGGTAAAGGGCACATACTTTCTTGGGTAAGTCTCTTCATCCATAAGCTGTGGAGGGCAATCTATTAGGGCATTGCTTGTAGGGCTAAGAAAATATGCAAGTGACATCCTATTCCTCTCTTTATTGACCACTGCTCTGTGCACAACACTCCTCAGCCTCCCATTTGTCCATGCCTACAAAAGTAAATTTAATATATAAACTATAATCAATGATCATATTTTTTTTAAAAAAATGTCAATGTCACATTTTTGAAAAATATTATTAGTGAACCAATTTCATCAAAATCACCAAATCTGTTGTTTGTGACATTGTGTGAGAGAAATTACTTCAAGGGTGTCACCAATGTTGATGATAAATGAGTTGGGAACAGGAGATATTCCGACCCATTGGTTGTCACTCCTAAGGACCTGAAGACCACCAACGTCGTCCTGTAGCAATATTGTAAGTGTGTGCGGGTCAGAGTGGCTCCCTACTCCGAGACACTTCTCCGGGAGTGGACAAGGAGGGTAACTATTGACTCGGATCATAGTTGCCTCTTTCTCGTCGAAATTCTTGGTAAAGAAGTCATCAACAAGGCCTAGTCCATGAGCTAGCATCTCGAAAATGGTCATTCCTAGCTTGTCCAATGCATCCATGTACTCGATCAAGGCTTCACTGAGACATGAAGATTATAAAAATCAACATACAAATGCCATAATGTTTAATTTTGTAATTTGGAATATGAATATTTTACCTAAATGGTTGATGTTGTTCACCAAAAACCATTCTTGCAAAAGCCACAATCTGTTGTGGTGATTGAAGTAGTTGTAATATTTCTGCCCAAGGCAAGTTGTGTCCATAATCAGGATTAGTGGCACAGTACCCCAACGGTAAGGTTGCTGATCTACCTCCTTTCAGCTTCTGCTCCATGGGAAGGTCGAAAAGCTTTTGTAACCGCGTTTTTGCTTTCTCAACTATTTCCGAAGCAACGCCATGATCCACCAGCTTAAAGAATCCCCATTTTTGGCTAGCTGCAGCACGCCTCGGCATACTCTTGTCCTTCCTTTTCGTCCAAAATTCCTCGTAGACTTATAACCGGGATGTCATTGTCTCCATCCGTGAATTCGTTGTGACTTATTTCAGGCCATTCTTCCTTGCTCCATATGAAATTTTTGATGCATAATTTGTGGTTCACTGAGGACAGTGAATCCACAAATTGCTCTTCAATTTCTAGTCCCATTGGAGCTTCTCAGGAAATTGTTGTCCTCAAAAGGGCGTGTGTGATCCAAAGAGGGTTTCAAATGACTAGTGTGCATTAAACTTGTAATTTATCAGCAAGTGTGGTGGGAATTTCCAATGTTTTGTGTTTTGGCTTCTAGCCTCATTTGCATTGTTAATGGTGGTGTTTGATAGCCTTGAAGAAGGGGTTAAATAAAAGATTTTCATGGATTCTAGCTAGTATCATACATTGTTGTCTTTAATAGCTATTTAGCTGAAGAAACCTAAGATTCTTTGAATGTGACCATTAACATTGATTATATTATGGAAATAACAAAGATCTTTGAATAAGAAGCATAAATGCCAAATGTTCAAGGCTAATCCACATTACTTCAAGTCATTAATCAAGGGTGGTCTTACCTATGAGGGTACTGGTAATATTTTATCACCTCCATCTTATTTTTATTTTTTATTTTTCCCTAACAAGACTCCCGCAATGTTTATGGGAGAGACTTGAATCCTATACCTTTCATCTTTAGACGAGATAATGCTAAACCGCAGGCCTTGATCACGCTATTTATAGAAATGGTACAACAACAACAACATTTTGAAGTGTGTATTATCAAAGAATCTGAATTCCACCCTGACATACATAGTATTTCACTACTAACTAACATATGATGCATAGAAGATCATTTAGGTGTTTTTTTCCTGCTGCTAAAATGTGTAAAAAAAAAAAGAAAAGAAATCTTATATAAAATCCTAAATGAAATAAATATATTAAAATAGTTCAGGAGTGAAAATCCAATGTATTAAACAATAAAACTGAATACATGCATATAATAGTTCAACCATAGCTAGCTAAATAGGTTTCTAGCAACACTTAAGCAGAAAAGGAACAGGGTAAGCAAATTGAAGTCAATACAATTTAGCACAATTAACTATATACGAAGGGAAGTAATTAATGAAATGTCATATATATATATGTTCAAATTCTGTAACCCCACAAATGTTCTTGGCAATTGTAGGAGACAACCCGGTCATCGGATCGGATCACCATCTTCATATTTCAGAGATGAATATAATAGTTTAGTCCCACCTGCAAAGAATAGAGGTTGTTTAGCCAGAAACAGAAAATGGACGCTATGAGTACTAATGAAGTAGTAATACCATAAAGGCAGCAGCAACTCCCAATTAATATATATAACTGCAAAGTATACTTGTGATGGAGCAAAGTATTAGTCCATTTCCCATTTGCAAAAAATGAAAGAGTAATGATAAAAAAAATTGAAGGTTCACTTTTTAACTGGAATTAACTGGATGTGAATTGATGAGCAGATTTTCCATGCGCTAGAGAATATAAAATAATGGTTCATTATATTTGTTTTATTGGTAATAGATGATTTCCTGACTTGCTCAAAACTTCAACTGTAATTAACATATATTTAGAAGGGTAGTTGTGTAATTTCAAAAAACAATTCTTGACTTGTGAAATTAGGGTTATAAATGTCATTTCCTTTTAAATGAGAGTGGAATTATATATTTTAAGGAAAATGATATAAGACTTTATTTTACCGACTACATAACTCACGGGACGTGGAATTAGTGATTGAGATAAATACCTGCAAAAGAGTCCTTGTTGCTTTTAAAAGTAACAAGAGTCCTTGTCTCTAATCATTATTGAAAGAATTTAGATGAATTCACATCCTAAAAAATCAATTTGAAATTCTAAAAGCACGTCACAAGAGATTCCCACATGTACTTTTTCCAATCAGACGCACCTTGCATTATAAAAGCACGTCACAAGCGTTACCTTCTTTACTGCTTTTAGCAGGAAGTATCCTCTTTTGCTTCACCAGGATTTGTTTCGTCGTCGTCGTCGTCGTCGCCCATACATCATCCTCCTCACCATCCCCAACATGAAACCATCCAAATCATCATCACAATCATAATCATCATCATCATCACCGAAATCATAATCTTCGTCATAGTCTTCGCTTTCATCCACCGCTAGTCCCTGAATCAAACAGAAGTAGAAGGGGGTTATATGAAAAGCATTGGCAGTGTCTTTTGTTGTGGTGATTCCTGGACAAAAGTTAAATGAAACTAGTGCAGATTGTTTACCACTACTATGCAGCAAAAATAATGCGTAAATCATCTTTAACTAAAAAATTCATGACATTTTACAGTTACCTTTTCTCTCCGAACAAACTGCTGCACATAGTCATTAAGGTCGTCATCATCTTCATCATCACCAGGACTTTCATCCACCGCTAGTCCCTGAATCAAACAGAAGTAGAAGGGGGTTATATGAAAAGCATTGGCAGTGTCTTTTGTTGTGGTGATTCCTGGACAAAAGTTAAATGAAACTAGTGCAGATTGTTTACCACTACTATGCAGCAAAAATAATGCGTAAATCATCTTTAACTAAAAAATTCATGACATTTTACAGTTACCTTTTCTCTCCGAACTAACTGCTGCACATAGTCATTAAGGTCGATAACATCATTGCCATCGTCTTCGCCTTCGTCATCATCCGTTCCATCATCATAATCGTCTTCGCCTTCACCATCACCAGGACTTTCATCCACCGCTAGTCCCTGAATCAAACAGAAGTAGAAGGGGGTTATATGAAAAGCATTGGCAGTGTCTTTTGTTGTGGTGATTCCTGGACAAAAGTTAAATGAAACTAGTGCAGATTGTTTACCACTACTATGCAGCAAAAATAATGCGTAAATCATCTTTAACTAAAAAATTCATGACATTTTACAGTTACCTTTTCTCTCCGAACAAACTGCTGCACATAGTCATTAAGGTCGATAACATCATTGCCCTCGCCGACTTCATAATCAATTGTTAATTTATTAGGTGTGCTTAAGCATCCGGTTGTGAATGTCTGCAATTGGGGACATTTCCCCAGATAAACCCACTCCAAGGATGGGAATTTAAAAGCATTATTTGTCCCACAAAAACATGTGAGGTTTTTTAGATAATCCAAACGCAGTTCCTGTAGTTGAGAGAACACAATTTCCTCCATGTCATCTTCTTCTCCTTCTCCTTCACTTCTAACTATTTCTTCCATCACACTACATCCTACAACCCATAGCGTTCTGAGTTGTTTGAGACCTCTTGCTATTGAGAATGAGAATACATACCTCAGGCTGTTGCATTTACTAAGTATCAAATATTTTAGGCTGTGAAACACCATAAGCCCCGTTGGGAATGCATTGGGTGGAATTACATTCACTAGTTTCTCACATCCTTGAACAATAACAAACCTTAGCTGCGAAACTTGTGCTCTCAAATCTAGGAATAATTGGTTGTCCCATATCACTGCCAGACTTTGCAATTTTGTAATTTTCAATTTCTTCAAAGCTGGGAAACTAACCTGCAAAATTCATTACATCCCATTTCATTTTAATTAATGCGGGAAAAATTGCACAAGGTCAAACTCAAATACCCCACTAAATTAGACTTATTAGAATGTAATAGTCAATTTAGATAAATGAGTGAATTTGAAATTAAGAGATATAGGCTTAAATAAAATTTATGTCAGTTTTGAAAGCTCAAGGTGATGTTTGGTGAGATTCAACTAAGCAGTAATGAGTAATGCTATATCAGTCTCCATTAGAAATCAATGATGATGCTTTTGATGTCAAAAAATTGCAGGACTAATTGAGAATAATATTAAACAATCAAACGAATTTTAAGATTATCAATTGGATTTCTGTTTTTCAAATATGTAATAATTAATTAGAGTTACTCCATCCATCCCTCAATAAGTGTCCATTTTCTAATTTTGGAAAAGTCCGTGAAAAAAGTTGAGTTTTCTTAATATATATATTTTTAATTATTTCTATAGTAGGTAAATTTTAATATTTTGGTGCCAAAAAATATATATTATTAATATTTAATACTTTTACAGCGAGTTTGAATTCTATATATGCAGTGAAATCTTCTTGCCTTGGTAAACAAATAATAATAATAAATTAAAAAAAAAGAAAAGAAAAAAAGAGGAGGATAATATGTAATGAAAGATTATAGATTGTAGGTATATAATACATGTACTTGTCAGTCAAGTGATAAATGGGTTCATGGACAGAAAAAAAATTTAGAAAGGGATTAAGAATTAGCCCGGTCAAAGATTGGAGAGAGAGGAGAAACTAAAAAGATTATTTCATATTTAAAAGGATAAATATTGTACTTGAGAAAAATAATCATTTAGTTAGAAAGTTAGTATTCAAATATCAAGAGAATAATAAATTCACCATTCAAATCATAGTGTGATCTAAAAATTGTTAATTGAGGTATGCAAAAGGTAATATTGTTTTCTTTTATGATTGGATAGCAGGCTCCCACTGAAAGCACAGTGAATCCGATTTTATTTAGAAAGTAATTAAAAAATAATGAGAAAATTCTTTTTAAGGCAAAAACAAAGTGAATGACATCACTTGCTCTAGCTAGTGGTTGCGAATGATCAACCCATATTACTGTAAGGTTTTGTAGGTTTTCAATAGTCAGTTTCTCCCGGGTAATGAAACCTGCAAATTTCATTTTATATATTACATTTTGTGGTCAAGAATCCAACACTTCTGGGCATATTATTAGTATATTTTATTATAAGATTCCATTCCTACCATTTTAAAATGATAATATCAACACTGCATGAAGATTCAGCTATATGGTGTGATATTTTACAAATAAACTAAGTACATTCACAAATCAAATGTATTTTAAGAATAAAAATCATTTAATTCTTACTTTTTTATTAAAAGTAATTATTACCTACTAAGGTTCATTAAGGTTATTGCATTGTTTGAACTTATTAAATTAAAATTTCATTAAACCAAAAAAATAACTACACAAACTTTAAAATTTATCTATATTATCAAAACATTTATACTTGTTGTCAGATAAGTATTTATTTTATGAAAGGAGATTTATTTATTTATTTTTATTTATTTATTTACCAAAAAAAAAAAAAATCAATAAAACAAAATTAGTGTGGAGTAACTGCTTCTTAATATGACATTTTATTTTACATGAAGGCTGGTAAAATATTTTTCCTTTTCCAATAAAATATTTTTTTATTTTTACTTATTCAACAGAGGTCTAAGTCGAGGTTGAGGTCGATTCCATTGGACTAGACGTGTCAAGTGTAGAATAACTTGTTGAAAATTAAAGGTTAAGTTATATTTGTTAGATTTTAATATATATTTTTTCTTTATAAATAAAAAAAAAATACTTTTACGACAACTAAATACCAAAAAATAAAAAAATATTTTATACCCAAATAAATGGAGCTTAAATGTAAATTAATTAAAAAAATGCCAACAAAAATAATGGGATGGCATTCGAGTGGAACCATTGGGCTAACCATTTCACCATTTCTATCGGAATGGTGGGCTTCTAAAGCAGAATTACCCATTCAATTAATATTGCAATTAAATATAGAAATTTGAATAAGAGACTAAGAGTTGTGATCTTGAGATGTATTTTTAAAGCCGAATTAGAGATGGGATTTGTGCCATTTGGCTTTAAGAGTTTTAAGTCCAAATCTTTATTGTTTAACTAAAGATAAGTAGAAAAGTGTAAAAATTGCATGTTAAGATGGTCCTAATAGATATAAAATCAAATACAAAGATTAAGAAGAATATAGAAGCTAATGGAAGATCTCTAATTTAATATATATAAACACCTGTTTGAATGAAAGTTTGAAACATACTGTGTATGCGGGTGGTTGCATGAAATGCGGTGTGGTTTGTCTGTTGACATATTGACATGTTTGTGTTTAATAGAATGAGATTTGTAATCTTTTTGAAAAAAAATAATAACAACATATTAATATGATATGTTAGTATATAATTAAGGTTATAATAGAATCGTCGGCAAGCCTGTTGGAAAAACTTTCGCAATTTTTTTTTTGTTTTTTGGTTATGAGAAAATATACAATGTGGTCGGTGTACAGGGCAATCATGACCGTCCGTGTCCGGATGTGTTGTACATGTGCACGCGCTTGTACTACACGAATGACAGTGATGTGCTCAGATATCTTGTTTATTAGTTATTGTAGCTTACCCTATTTGACTGATGGAGAATTAACCCATTGATTATTGAAATAAAATTATGTAAATATCCATAATAAGGAAATTGAATTAAAAAATAGGAAAATAAATATTTTAGAAACAAAAAAATCACGTAAAACTAAACCAACGTCTTTCACCGGTTGCAAAATCATGAATTTTGTTGTTTGAAAAAAGAAAAAAAGGTTCTGCCTTAGGGTTCTCTAGCAGATGACGTCACCTCATGGAAGCCTAATCTAGCCATCAGAGAAAAAAAAAACTAAATTGAATTAAAGTTGTACACAAATGTTCATCAAGAGAATAATAAATTCACCTTTCAAATCATATTGTGATCTAAAAATTGTTAATTTAGATATACAAAAGGTAATATTGTTTTCTGATTGGATAGTATCACTAAGTTATAACTTTGATATTAAAATATGAGTTAAACAATGTCATTAAGTGTGTCTTTCCCAATATTTTCAACCAATGTACTGTTTTGAACCTCATGCAATTTTTTTTGTTTGTTTGTTTGTTTGTTAACAAGCATATGCATTTATAAGCCACAATTAAGTATTCAATTTGCAATAACAAGCATCCTTTCAATTTGTGAATATGTCAACTAATTGTGGCTCATTAGGTTATACAGCGGAATGTAACACATTTATAATATCACTTGGTGTTGAAATAGTGAAATTTTGCACTAGGATACATGGGTGTTAGTTAACATCATTCTTCAAGGTTTTTGAGTGTGTTTGGTAACATCCAAAAATAAATAAAAATTTCATAGTAATTGTAATTTTATAGGTTTTCAAGAAAATGATTTCTTTAAATTTCTGGAAATTTATTTTTTCCCAAAAACAAAATTGATTGCTTTAGCTTAAGCTGTGTGTGTGTGTGTGTTTTTTTTTTTTTATATATATATATAGGACATGTATATAGATTAAGTTGCATAGCACAACCCATCCAAATCCAAATTTGGAGAAAGAAAATCCTTAGCCGTAAACACAAGTCATCAACTCTAAACCTGGAGTTAAAATAAATAACTAATAGATTTTTTTATTGCATGAGTTTTTTTTTTGTTTTTTTTTTAATAAAACATATAATAAAATAGTACTCTACCAAAAATAAAAATTGGAGAGAAAAATAGTATCCTAACTTGAGTAGAAAAAAGAAAAGTAAGAAAAGAGGAGCTAAATTTTAACCTAAAAGACTTACATGGTTGAAAACGACATAGTAAGACGTATTTCTTCATCCATTTTTTCACTATTAAAAATTTAATGACTTTTCTAATTCTAGAAAAAAAAAAAAAAAAAAAAATTCTTCGCAATTTTGTGTTTGGGGAATATTTCCATATTAGAGAAATATGTAGATAAAAAGTCAATAAAACAAAAATACTGTGGAGCGCTTCTTAATATGACATTTTATTTTTAATTAAATGTAAATTAATTTTAAAAATGCTTCTTGGGCCATTCCAACCAAAATAATGGCGGCATTCTAGTGGGACCATTGGGCCAACCTTTTCTGTTGGAATGGTGGGCTTGTAAGGCACAATAAGAGATGGGGTTTGGACCCATTCGGCTTTCAGAGTTTGAAGTCCACATTTCTATTTTTTGAATAACAATAAAAATAAAGTTTTTTTTTTTTTCTAAAATAAAATTAAATAAAAATAAATAAATAAAGTTTAGTAGAAAAGTGTAAAACTTTTTTGCTAATAAATGCAGTTCTAATCTGATTGGTGTAAAAGCATGCACAAAGATTGAAAAGAATATAAAAGCTAATGGAAGATTTAAATTTTTTTTTTGGGTAAATAATGGAAGATCTAATTTTAGAAATTTTTGCAAAAACCTTCTTTCTGATGAGAAAATATATAATGTTCTCGGTGCACTGCGCAATAATGACATGTTCATATCTATGCGTGTTGTACGCGCACCATGCTTGTACAACACAAATGACAGTGATGTGCTCAATGCACGGTGCACCGAATACCTATTCATTTGTGATGCAAAAAATTTATATATATATATTAATAAATTAAGTATTCAATAGATTAATGACAAGCGGTAACTCTATATGAATTATATTTTTTTTCTGATTAGTGTACATACTACATGGTGGTGGTGAGTCCAGTGATGGCTTGCTAAGAAAACAATTACTAAACCTTGTTATATATTAGCTCATAAAATTTTATTCAAAACGAGTGAAGAGTACATTATTGTTTACGTCGACCAACAAATAAAAAATTAATAATTAATAATTCATATTTTATTATTTCTTTACTAAAATGAATAATTGAATATAAAAAGTATTCATATAACATAAATTTATTTATTTTATTAGCATTTGAAATTAGAAAGGTGTTTTGGTAAATTTAATCATTTTCTGTTTTCTTCATACTATCCAAACTAGCAAAATAATATTTTCTCACAATTTTCTTCAAAAATATTCTTGCTAATCAAATAGATGATGGAAACTTGATTTTTTTTTTCTTTCACTATCACTTTTCATCATAATTTTTCATCCAAACAAACGAACCTTGGAAAAACTTAATACATCGTGGGCATAAAAGGTAAAATTGTAGAATGAATAAAAAGTATTTATAGGTAAGCATGCATAAAAATAGAAAAGGCACGATAATTTTTCATTCACATCGTTTTTCTTCTTCTTCTTTTCATTTTTTGATAAGTTATTATAGTCCCAGTGGAAATTTAATTAAATGGGCAACTTTTCATGTGGGATGAGGAAGAGGAAATAAGTTGTTTCATTTACATTTTTTAGTCAGTAAATCTTATACATTAATTATTAAAGAAGTGACGTCATGGGAGTTAATGAATCTATGTACATACCTTGTGGTTGAAGAGGGTTTCTACTCTGGGCAACTCTTCAAGTTCCAAATACTTTAATTGAGGGAAGACAGTGATCTCGTCATGCACTCCATCTTTTTCTCCTAATTGTCCCCTTTCAACTGCAAATATCTCTTTCACTGAATCACATTCGGAGACTTTAAGTTTTTCTAGCTTTTGTAAGCTTGGGAGCACATTGGAGGCAATCACATTCACCAATTTCTCACATCCCCCTACTGTCATGGACCTTAGGCTTTGAAAGGAAACTTGTGCTTCCTTCACTATGAGTGATTGGGATTGGCCTTCCCATATCGCTGTAAGGCTTTCCAATCTGCCAATATCTAGTTCCTCCAAGACAGGAAATGCAACCTGCAAAATTCATTACAATAATGTTACATTTGTAGCCAAGAATCCACCTATTCAGTTATTATTAGTAAATTTTGCAACATTTGGCTCCTACTATTTTAAAATTAAAATTATGAACGCTGCATGAGAAGTCAACTATAGTTATTTTTTTCTTTTTTCCCTAATTTGTTTTCCAGTAAAAACTAGTGTACTCTTGGGAAAAAAAGTATTTTAAGAAACTAAATGGTTTTATTACTATTTTTCAAACAAATGAAGCACAATCCAGCTAGTCTTGGGCTGCTTTCTCATTTAGAAGCGGAAGGAGCCTATTGGAATTAAAAAACCCAAGTAATTCTTTGCTTCTGCTATGACTATTCTCTTATTTTTGAGTTAGATTTAGAAAGTAATTATGCTCTGTTTTTGTAATATCCATTTTAATATGCTATTTTAATCTGAGATTAGAATATTTTTTTTTGATATAGATTAAACTTATATCCATTTTAAAATTGCAATTGAATATATAAATTTGAATAAACATAATAGGATAAGTTAATTTATGAAATTATGCTAATAAATGCATGGTAGTAATGTGATGCGCATCTATAAATATTAAAATAAAACTTCTATCTTATATTAAAATAAAACTGGTTTCCAGTAAAAACAAGTGGTCTTGTTATCTTATATTTTTCAAACAAATGAAGCACAATCACATAGGTTTATTATTATTATTCAAACAAATGAAGCACAATCCAGCTCTTCTTGGGCTGCTTTCTCATTTAGGAGCCTACTAGTCTTTGGAATTAAAAAAACCCAAGTAAAATTTTGATTCTTAATTACATTTAGAGAGAAATTATGCTCTGTTTTTGGAATATCCATTTTAATATGCTATTTTATCTGAGATTAGAATATTTTTATTTGATCTAGATTCAACTTATATCCATTTTAAAATTGCAATTGAATATACAAATTTGAATAAACATAATAGGAAAATTTAGCTTAAGAAATTATGCTAATAAATGCACGTGGCATGGTAGTAATGTGATGCGCATTTATAAATATTTATACTATTATTAAAAGTACAAGGGTGTCAAGAATTTCAAATCATTGATTTATAAATTCAATAATAAAATAACTTACCAATTAAAACAATAATATTATTTTATTTAGGATTTTATCTGTGCTAAGTACTAATTTGGTTTTCAATTTAGATTTCTACCACAACATAAGTTAAAAATTTTAAAATCATTTATTTATAAATTAGATAATAAAATAATAAAATAAGTTACCATCTAAAATAATAATTCTATTTAAAGACAAATTATATTAAAGAGTTTCTATAAAACATGTTCCTTCTGTTTTCTTTTCAATGGTACTTCTATGTATCAACATAAATTTAGACTTTCTTTCCGTAAATTATATATTTATTAATTAATATAAAAAATATTAAAAAGTTTCTAAACAAACATGTTTCCTTCTATTCTTTCCAATGTTACGTATCACCGTAAATTTAGATTTTCTTTCCAATAAACTCTTACGTATCACCGTAAATTTAGATTTTCTTTCCAATAAACTCTTACGTATCACCGTAAATTTAGATTTTCTTTCCAATAAACTCTTACGTATCACATTAAATTTGAAAAAAGAATTAATACTCTTGATGAGTACAGTTTGGATCGTCAAATCATTGATTTATGAATTAGATAATAAAATAATAAAATAAGTTACAAATTAAAATAATAATCCTATTTTATCAATTAAGCACTAATTTGGTTATCAATTTATATTTCTACTACAAAATAGGTTAAAGAATTTAAAACCATTGATTTATAAATTAGATAATAAAATAATAAAATAAATTACCATTTAAAATAATAAATTATATTAAAGAGTTTCTATAAGACATGTTTCCTTCTGTTTTCTTTTCAATAAAATTTAGATTTTCTTTCCATTAATTATATATTTATTAATTAATATAAAAATAATTAAAGATTTTCTAAAAAACATTTTCCCTTCTATTTTCTTTTCAATTTACTTCTACGTATTACGGTAAATTTAGATTTTCTTTTCAATAAACTCCTACATATCACATAAAATTTGAATTAATGCTCTTACATGTTGATGAGTACAGGGTTTAGATGGAAGGGGTCAAACAAAAGAATAAGACCAGTTAATTCAAGAGAAACAATTTCATTGTTTTGCTTTTGGTTTGAGTGGCGAACTTTTTCAATCTTTTTATAACAAAAAAATTTCACGTGCGTTTTTTCTAGTTAAAATAAAATTTCTAAGAATATAAAAATGACTGGAATATCTCTAATTATATATACATATATAATTATACGTAGTGTGCAAACATGTATGCTTCATGTGTTAGAGAGTAGTTGCATATATATATATATATATATATATATATATATATATATATATTGTAGACAAGTGTCTCCTGATTGAATATATGTGTGTGCGCATGTGGTATAAAGACATAAAGCTCTTGTTGGCTGCTGCCCATCCAGATTTCACTCTCTTGTGGGCTCGTTGGTCCTCAAACAAACCAGCCCATCTCCATAGTCAATGGGCTTTGAGAAGCAGTTCGAGTGACCTTGAGTGGGACACTTGGCCCACATGGCCTGTTTCTGCCATTGATTCTTATTTTCCTGTTTTGCCTTACTTTCTTGTTCTCTTTCCTTCTTGTTAGGAAAAAAAAAAAAAATTGGGTAAATTAAAAATATTGAACTTAAATTTTATTCGGGAATGTCATATTTTAGTCCGAGAAACTTCCTAATTTGATACTAATTAAAAATATATATATATTTTTAGAAGAAAATAAAGTGGCTAGTAAGTGTTGATGAGATGATATAATTTGTTGATAGGTAATAAGTTAATAACATACAAACCACTCTCGCCCACCTATTAATTAAATGTGTGACCTTTCATGTGAGAGGGGGAAGAAGAAATAAGTTGTTTCATTTGCATTTTTTAGTTATATATTAATTATTAAAGAAGTGAAGTCATGTACCCACAATATTTTTGTTGTTTAAATACAATTACTTTACCATATTATAGACTTTGTTTTTTGAGTAAAAAAAAAAAAAGATGATAGAGGAGAGAGGCCAATAGCTTTTGGTTGAAGAGAGCTTAATTAATATATAATCTTGGGAGTTAATTAATGACTCTGTGTTGGATGGTAATTGTATAGAAAAACTTAATAGAGAGCTATTTACATACCTTGTGGTTGAAGAGAGCTTCCACTCTGGGAATGATTTGATCCACTGTTTCTTCATATTCTTTGGATCCAAGAGTGAAACTTTTGAGGTTTTTCAAGTCTTTAAGTTTCAAATACTTCAATTGAGGGAAGACGATGATTTCATCATGCACTATATCTTCTTTTTCCAATTGTCCCCTTTCAACTGCAACTATCTCTTCCACTGAATCACATTCGGAGACTTCAAGTTTTTCTAGCTTCTGCAAGCTTGGGAGCACATTGGAGGCAATCACATTCACCAATTTATGACATTCACATACACGCATGGACCTTAGGCTTTGAAAGGAAATTTGTGCTTCCTTCACTTGGAGTGATTGGGATTGGCCTTCCCATATCGCTGTAAGGCTTTCTAAATTTATAATATTTAGTTTCTCCAGGGCAGGGAATGCAACCTGCAAAATTCATTACTATAATGTTACATTTGTAGCCAAGAATCCACCTATTCAGTTATTATTAGTAAATTTTGCAACAATTATATTTTTTTAGCTTAAGCTCTCTGTTTTTTTTATTATAGGAAATGTATATAGATTAAGTTGCATAGCACAACCCATCCAAATCCAAATTTGGAGAAAGAAAATCCTTAGCCGTAAACACAAGCCATCAACTCTAAACCTGGAGTTAAAATAAATAACTAATAGATTTTTTTAATGCATGAGTTTTTTTTTTTAATAAAACAGATAATAAAATAGTACTCTACCGAAAATAAAAATTGGAGAGAAAAATAGTACCCTAACTTGAGTAGGAAGAAAAAAAGTAAGAAAAGAGGAGCTAAATTTTAAAATCATTTATTTATAAATTAGATAATAAAATAATAAAATAAGTTACCATCTAAAAAATAATTCTATTTAAAGACAAATTATATTAAAGAGTTTCTATAAAACATGTTCCTTCTGTTTTCTTTTCAATGGTACTTCTATGTATCAACATAAATTTAGAATTTCTTTCCGTAAATTATATATTTATTAATTAATATAAAAAATATTAAAGAGTTTCTAAAAAAACATGTTTCCTTCTATTCTTTCCAATGTTACGTATCACCGTAAATTTAGATTTTCTTTCCAATAAACTCTTACGTATCACATTAAATTTGGAAAAAGAATTAATACTCTTAATGAGTACAGGGTTTGGATCGTCAAATCATTGATTTATAAATTAGATAATGAAATAAGTTACCAATTAAAATAATAATCCTATTTTATCAATTAAGTACTAATTTGGTTATCAATTTATATTTCTACTATCAATTTATATCAATTTACTTTACCGTATTTTATTTTTGTTGTTTAAATACAATTACTTTACCATATTATAGACTTTGTTTTTTGAGTAAAAAAAAAAAAAGATGATAGAGGAGAGAGGCCAATAGCTTTTGGTTGAAGAGAACTTAATTAATATACAATCTTGGGAGTTAATTAATGACTTTGTGTTGGATGGTAATTGTATAGAAAAACTTAATAAAGAGCTATTTACATACCTTGTGGTTGAAGAGAGCTTCCACTCTGGGAATGATTTGATCCACTGTTTCTCCTTCTTCTTTGGATTCATGAGTGAAACTTGTGAGGTTTGGCAAGAAATAAAGTTTCAAATACTTCAATTGAGAGAAGACAACGATCTCATCATGCACTACATCTTCTTCTCCTAATTGTCCCCTTTCAACTTCAACTATCCCTTCCACTGAATAACATCTGTAGACAAAAAGTTTTTCTAGCTTCTGTAAGCTTGGGAGCACATTGGAGGCAATCACATTCACCAATTTATCACAATTCCATACTTTCATGGACCTTAGGCTTTGAAAGGAATTTTGTGCTTCCTTCACTTGGAGTGATTGGGATTGGCCTTCCCATATCGCTGTAAGGCTTTCTAATTCTCTAATCTCTAGTTCCTCCAGGGCAGGGAATGCAACCTGCAAAATTCATTACTATAATGTTACATTTGTAGCCAAGAATCCACCTATTCAGTTATTATTAGTAAATTTTGCAACATTTGGCTCCTACTATTTTAAAATGAAAATTATGAACGCTGCATGAGAAGTCAACTATAGTTATTTTTTTCTTTTTTCCCTAATTTGTTTTCCAGTAAAAACTAGTGTACTCTTGGGAAAAAAAGTATTTTAAGAAACTAAATGGTTTTATTACTATTTTTCAAACAAACGAAGCACAATCCAGCTATTCTTGGGTTGCTTTCTCATTTAGGAGCGGAAGGAGCCTATTGGAATTAAAAAAAACCCAAGTAATTCTTTGCTTCTGCTATGACTATTTTCTTATTTTTGAGTTAGATTTAGAAAGAAATTATGCTCTGTTTTTGTAATATCCATTTTAATATGCTATTTTAATCTGAGATTAGAATATTTTTTTTTGATATAGATTAAACTTATATCCACTTTAAAATTGCAATTGAATACAAAAATTTGAATAAACATAATAGGAAAGTTAGTTTACCAAATTATGCTAATAAATGCATGGTAGTAATGTGATGCGAATCTATAAAATATTAAAATAAAACTTCTATCTTATATTAAAATAAAACTTGTTTCCAGTAAAAACAAGTGGTCTTGTTATCTTATATTTTTCAAACAAATGAAGCACAATCACATAGGTTTATTATTATTTTTCAAACAAATGAAGCACAATCCAGCTCTTCTTGGGCTGCTTTCTCATTTAGGAGCCTACTAGTCTCAGGAATTAAAAAACCCAAGTAATATTTTGATTCTGAATTACATTTAGAGAGAAATCATGCTCTGTTTTTTGAATATCCATTTTAATATGCTATTTTATCTGAGATTAGAATATTTTTATTTGATCTAGATTCAACTTATATCCATTTTAAAATTGCAATTGAATATATAAATTTAAATAAACATAATAGGAAAATTTAGCTTAAGAAATTATGCTAATAAATGCACGTAGCATGGTAGTAATGTGATGCGCATTTATAAATATTTATACTATTATTAAAAGTACAAGGGTGTCAAGAATTTCAAATCATTAATTTATAAATTAGATAATAAAATAACTTACCAATTAAAATAATAATATTATTTTATTTAGGATTTTATCTATTCTAAGTACTAATTTGGTTTTCAATTTAGATTTCTGCCACAACATAATTCTAAAATCATTTATTTATAAATTAGATAATAAGATAATAAAATAAGTTACCATCTAAAATAATAATTCTATTTAAAGACAAATTATATTAAAGAGTTTCTATAAAACATGTTCCTTCTGTTTTCTTTTCAATGGACTTCTATGTATCAACATAATAAATTTAGACTTTCTTTCCGTAAATTATATATTTATTAATTAATATAAAAAATATCAAAGAGTTTCTAAAAAAACATGTTTCCCTTCTATTCTTTCCAATGTTACGTATCACCGTAAATTTAGATTTTCTTTCCAATAAACTCTTACGTTTCACATTAAATTTGGAAAAAAGAATTAATACTCTTGATGAGTACAGGGTTTGGATCGTCAAATCATTGATTTATAAATTAGATAATAAAATAATAAAATAAGTTACCAATTAAAATAATAATCCTATTTTATCAATTAAGTACTAATTTCGTTATCAATTTATATTTCTACTACAAAATAAGTTAAAGAATTTAAAACCATTGATTTATAATAAAATAATAAAATAAATTACCATTTAAAATAATAAATTATATTAAAGAGTTTCTATAAAACATGTTTCCTTCTGTTTTCTTTTCAATAAAATTTAGATTTTCTTTCCATTAATTATATATTTATTAATTAATATAAAAATAATTAAAGAGTTTCTAAAAAACATTTTCCCTTCTATTTTTTTTTCAATTTACTTCTACGTATTACGGTAAATTTAGATTTTCTTTTCAATAAACTCCTACATATCACATGAAATTTGAATTAATGCTCTTACATGTTGATGAGTACAGGGTTTAGATCGAAGGGGTCAAACAAAAGAATAAGACCAGTTAATTCACGTGCGTTTTTTCTAGTTAAAATAAAATTTCTAAGAATATAAAAATGACTGGAATATCTCTAATTATATATACATATATATTTATACGTAGTGTGCAAACATGTATGCTTCATGTGTCTCAGAGTAGTTGCATATATATATATATATATATATATATATATTATAGACAAGTGTCTCCTGATTGAATATATGTGTGTGCGCATGTGGTATAAAGACATAAAGATCTTGTTGGCTGCTGCCCATCCAGATTTCACTCTCTTGTGGGCTCGTGGTCGTCAAACAAACCAGCCCATCTCCATAGTCAATGGGCTCTGAGAAGCAGTTCGAGTGACCTTGAGTGGGACACTTGGCCCACATGGCCTGTTTCTGCCATTGATTCTTATTTTCCTGTTTTGCCTTACTATCTTGTTCTCTTTCCTTCTTGTTAGGAAAAAAAAAAAAAAAAATTGGGTAAATTAAAAATATGGAACTTAAATTTTATTCGAGAATGTCATATTTTAGTCCAAGAAACTTCCTAATTTGATACTAATTAAAAAAATATATATTTTTTTAGAAGAAAATAAAGTGACTAGTAAGTGTTGATAGATGATATAATTTGTTGATAGGTAATAAGTTAATAACATACAAACCACTCTCTCCCACCTATTAATTAAATGTGTGACCTTTCATGTGAGAGGGGGAAGAAGAAATAAGTTGTTTCATTTGCATTTTTTAGTTATATATTAATTATTAAAGAAGTGAAGTCATGTACCCACAATATTTTTGTTGTTTAAAAACAATTACTTTACCGTAAAAAAAAAAAGAAAAGAAAAGAAAAAGAAAAAGATGATAGAGGAGAGAGGCCAATTGCTTTTGGTTGAAGAGAGCTTAATTAATATATAATCTTGGGAGTTAATTAATGACTCTGTGTTGGATGGTAATTGTATAGAAAAACTTAATAGAGAGCTATTTACATACCTTGTGGTTGAAGAGAGCTTCCACTCTGGGAATGATTTGATCCACTGTTTCTTCAGATTCTTTGGATCCAAGAGTGAAACTTTTGAGGTTTTTCAAGTAATTAAGTTCCAAATACTTCAATTGAGGGAAGACGATGATTTCATCATGCACTATATCTTCTTTTTCCAATTGTCCCCTTTCAACTGCAACTATCTCTTCCACTGAATCACATTCGGAGACTTTAAGTTTTTCTAGCTTCTGCAAGCTTGGGAGCACATTGGAGGCAATCACATTCACCAATTTATGACATTCCCATACTGCCATGGACCTTAGGCTTTGAAAGGAAACTTGTGCTTCCTTCACTAGGAGTGATTGGGATTGGCCTTCCCATATCGCTGTAAGGCTTTCTAATTCTCTAATCTCTAGTTCCTCCAGGGCAGGGAATGCAACCTGCAAAATTCATTACTATAATGTTACATTTGTAGCCAAGAATCCACCTATTCAGTTATTATTAGTAAATTTTGCAACATTTGGCTCCTACTATTTTAAAATGAAAATTATGAACGCTGCATGAGAAGTCAACTATAGTTATTTTTTTCTTTTTTCCCTAATTTGTTTTCCAGTAAAAACTAGTGTACTCTTGGGAAAAAAAGTATTTTAAGAAACTAAATGGTTTTATTACTATTTTTCAAACAAATGAAGCACAATCCAGCTATTCTTGGGCTGCTTTCTCATTTAGGAGCGGAAGGAGCCTATTGGAATTAAAAAAAACCCAAGTAATTCTTTGCTTCTGCTATGACTATTTTCTTTTCCTAAAATAAAATAAAATAAAAATAAATAAATAAAGTTTAGTAGAAAAGTGTAAAACTTTTTTGCTAATAAACGCAGTTCTAATCTGATTGGTGTAAAAGCATGTACAAAGATTGAAAAGAATATAAAAGCTAATGGAAGATTAAAATTTTTTTTTTGAGTAAATAATGGAAGATCTAATTTTAGAAATTTTTGCAAAAACCTTCTTTGTGATGAGAAAATATACAATGTTCTCGGTGCACTGCGCAATAATGACATGTTCATATCTATGCGTGTTGTACGCGCACCGTGCTTCTACAACACAAATGACAGTGATGTGCTCAATGCACGGTGCACCGAATACCTATTCATTTGTGATGCAAAAAATTTATATATATATATTAATAAATTAAGTATTCAATAGATTAATGACATGCGGTAACTCTATATGAATTATATTTTTTTTCTGATTAGTGTACATACTACATGGTGGTGGTGAGTCCAGTGATGGCTTGCTAAGAAAACAATTACTAAACCTTGTTATATATTAGCTCATAAAATTTTATTCAAAACGAGTGAAGAGTACATTATTGTTTACGTCGACCAACAAATAAAAAATTAATAATTAATAATTCATATTTTATTATTTCTTTACTAAAATGAATAATTGAATATAAAAAGTATTCATATAACATAAATTTATTTATTTTATTAGCATTTGAAATTAGAAAGGTGTTTTGGTAAATTTAGTCATTTTCTGTTTTCTTCATGTTATCCAAACTAGCAAAATAATATTTTCTCACAATTTTCTTCAAAAATATTCTTACTAACCAAATAGATGATGGAAACTTGATTTTTTTTTTCTTTCACCATCACTTTTCATCATAATTTTTCATCTAAACAAACGAACCTTGGAAAAACTTAATACATCATAGGTAAGCATGCATAAAAATAGAAAAGGCACGATAATTTTTCATTCACATCGTTTTTCTTCTTCTTCTTTTCATTTTTTGATAAGTTATTATAGTCCCAGTGGAAATTTAATTAAAAAACCCAAGTAATTCTTTGCTTCTGCTATGACTATTCTCTTATTTTTGAGTTAGATTTAGAAAGAAATTATGCTCTGTTTTTGTAATATCCATTTTAATATGCTATTTTAATCTGAGATTAGAATATTTTTTTTTGATATAGATTAAACTTATATCCACTTTAAAATTGCAATTGAATACAAAAATTTGAATAAACATAATAGGAAAGTTAGTTTACCAAATTATGCTAATAAATGCATGGTAGTAATGTGATGCGAATCTATAAAATATTAAAATAAAACTTCTATCTTATATTAAAATAAAACTTGTTTCCAGTAAAAACAAGTGGTCTTGTTATCTTATATTTTTCAAACAAATGAAGCACAATCACATAGGTTTATTATTATTTTTCAAACAAATGAAGCACAATCCAGCTATTCTTGGGCTGCTTTCTCATTTAGGAGCGGAAGGAGCCCAATGGAATTAAAAAACCCAAGTAATAGACTATTTTCTAATTTTTGAGTTAGATTTAGAAAGAAATTATGCTCTGTTTTTGTAATATCCATTTTAGTATGTTATTTTATCTGAGATTAGAATATTTTTATTTGATATAGATTAAACTTATATCCCTTTTAAATAAAATTGCAATTGAATATATAAATTTGAATAAACATAATAGGAAAAGTTAGTTTACGAAATTATGCTAATAAAAGCATGGTAGTAATGTAATGCGCATCTATAAATATTAAAATAAAACTTCTAAGAATATAATAAAAAAATAATAATAATAAAAATAATATATATATATATATATATATATGTTATGAAAGATTATAGATATAGAATACATGTACTTGTCAGTCAAGTGATAAATGGGTTCATTGAAAGAGAAAAATAATTGAGAAAGGGATTAAGAATTAGCCGTCACAGATTGGAGAGAGAGGAGAAACTAAAAAGATTATTTCATATTTAAAAGGATAAATATTGTATTTGAGAAAAATAATCATTCAGTTGTAAAGGTGGTATTCAAATATCATTTCCTATAAGATTATTTAAAAAAAAAAAAATTAAAAAAAAGAAACAAAATTTTGAGCACCTGCTTGCATAGAACCAGAAAGAATATGGAGGGTTCTAATGATAGTGCTTCCGTAGGTGGATGTTGAAGTTAATGAAAAGGGAAAGTACTAGGTGAAATTTGAGATTTAATTAATGATTGTTAATCACAAATTAGACATTTCTTAATAGCTACTAGAATTTTATAATAGGAGTAAGGACACACATACCTTGTGGTTGAAGAGGGCTTCCACTTGAGAAATGTTCAGCTCCACTGTTTCTTCTTCACGTTTTTTGGATCCACTAGTGCAGCAACAGAAACTTTTAAGGTTTGGCAAGTTTTCAAGTTCCAAATACTTTAATTGAGGGAAGACAATGATCTCATCATGCACTAGATCTTCTAATTTTCCCCTTTCAATTGCAACTATCTCTTCCATCTTTTCACACCGACATACTTTTAATTTTTGGAGGTGCACAAGGTATCTCGCTGTGGATGGTGAGAATACATTTTTCAAATTGTCACGTTTAGAAAGGTGCAAATCTGTTAGGTTTGAATACGCACAAATGCCGCCCGCAAAGTGTTCCTTTCTGTTCAACGTCATATACATCACCAAGTTAGGTAGATCCCTGAGAAGCATTTCTTGTAGCCCAGGGAGTACATCAATTGTTGGTTCAACTGTTGGGGACCCTTTTTCAACACTACCATGCACTTCAACTTCAGAAAACAAGGAATCGCATTTCCCAACTTGGAGTTGTTTTAGGTTCTGCAACCTTGGGAGCATACAGGAGGGAATCACATTCACCAATTTCTCACATCCATGGACAATCATGTTGGTTAGGCGCCCAAAGGAATCTTCAGCCTCCTTCACTTGCTCTAGTGGTTGTGATTGGTCAACCCATATTGCTGTAAGGCTTTGTAGGTCTTCAATAGTCAATTCCTCCAAGGCAGGTAATGAAACCTGCAAAATTCATTTTATATATTACATTTTGTGGTCATGAATCCAACACTTCTGAGCATATTATTAGTATATTTTATTATAAGATTCCATTCCTACTATTTTAAAATTATAATTATCAACACTGCATGAGGATTCAGCTAGAGTACATTCTTGTGGTGTGATATTTTTCATACAAACTAAGCACACTCACAAATCAAATGTATTTTAAGAATAAAAATTATTTACTTCTTACTTTTTAAGATAAGTAATTATTACTGAAGTTCATTAAGGTTATTGCATTGCTTGAACATAATAAATTAAAATCATTGATTTATAAATTAGATAATAAAATAAGTTACCAATTAAAATAATAATCCTATTTTATCAATTAAGTACTAATTTGGTTATCAATTTATATTTCTACTACAAAATAAGTTTAAGAATTTAAAACCATTGATTTATACATTAGATAATAAAATAATAAAATAAATTACCATTTAAAATAATAAATTATATTAAAGAGTTTCTATAAAATATGTTTCCTTCTGTTTTCTTTTCAATAAAATTTAGATTTTCTTTCCATTAATTATATATTTATTAATTAATATAAAAATAATTAAAGAGTTTCTAAAAAACATTTTCCCTTCTATTTTCTTTTCGATTTACTTCTACGTATTACGGTAAATTTAGATTTTCTTTTCAATAAACTCCTACATATCACATAAAATTTGAATTAATGCTCTTACATGTTGATGAGTACAGGGTTTAGATGGAAGGGGTCAAACAAAAGAATAAGACCAGTTAATTCAAGAGAAACAATTGCATTGTTTTGCTTTTGGTTTAAGTGGCGAACTTTTTCAATCTTTTTATAATAAAAAAATTTCACGTGCGTTTTTTCTAGTTAAAATAAAATTTCTAAGAATATAAAAATGACTGGAATATCTCTAATTATATATACATATATAATTATACGTAGTCTGCAAACATGTATGCTTCATGTGTTAGAGAGTAGTTGCATATATATATATATATATATATATATATATATATATATATATATTATAGACAAGTGTCTCCTGATTGAATATGTGTGTGTGTGCGCATGTGGTATAAAGACATAAAGCTCTTGTTGGCTGCTGCCCATCCAGATTTCACTCTCTTGTGGGCCCGCTGATCCTCAAACAAACCAGCCCATCCCCATAGTCAATGGGCTTTGAGGAGCAGTTCGAGTGACCTTGAGTGGGACACTTGGCCCACATGGCCTGTTTCTGTCATTAATTCTTATTTTCCTGTTTTGCCTTACTTTCTTGTTCTCTTTCCTTCTTCTTAAAAATAAAAAAAAAAAAAGAAAAAAGAAAAAGGAAAAATGGGTAAATTAAAAATATTGAACTTAAATTTTATACGAGAATGTCATATTTTAGTCCAAGAAACTTCCTAATTTGATACTAATTAAAATATATATATTTTTTTAAGAAGAAAATAAAGTGACTAGTAAGTGTTGATGAGATGATATAATTTGTTGATAGGTAATAAGTTAATAACATACAAACAACTCTCACCCACCTATTAATTAAATGTGTGACCTTTCATGTGAGAGGGGAAGAAGAAATAAGTTGTTTCATTTGCATTTTTTAGTCAGTAATTCTTATATATTAATTATTAAAGAAGTGAAGTCATGTACCCACAATATTATTTTGCTTAAATACAATTACTTTACAGCATTAGAGACTTTATTTTTCAAGTCATGTAACCATAATATTATTGTGGTGTAGGGTGTACTATTTCCTATTGGTGAGTGACCCTAAAAAAAAATAATAAAAAAAAAAATAAAAAAAGGTTAATTTAGAAAATATTTTACGGACGGTTGTCAAAAATCAAAAAATAAAAATAAAGAAAACATTTTACATGAAATTTTTTTTTTAGAAAATATTTTACAAATAAAACATTAGGTCTCAACAAATGGAACCCTAGATGTAGATACAGGAAATTATGCTCTGTTTTTGTAATATCATTTTAATATGCCATTTTATCTAAGATTAAAATATTTATATTTGATCTAGATTAAACTGATATCCATTTTGAAATTGCAATTGAATATATAAATTTGAATAAACATAATAAGAAAAGGTAGTGTAAAAAAAGTATACTAATAAATGCATGTTATGTTAGCATAGTAGTAATGTTGATGCCCATCTATAAATATTAAAATAAAACTTTTAAGAATATAAAAATTACTGAAATATCTCTAATTATATAATTAGACGTATCGTGCATGACACATGTGACATGTATGCTTCATGTGTGTCTGAGAATGATTGCATATATACATATATATATATATATATATATATAGACAAGTGTCTGCTGATTGAATATGTATGCATGCAGCCCATCCAGATTTTACTCTGTCGTGGGCTCCTCGATCCTCAAACAAACCAGCCCATCTCCTTAGTCAATGGGCTTTGAGGAACAGGTGCCCACTTATAGCTTATTTCTGCCATTGATTCTTATTTTAGTAATTATAAGGTAAGTGTTGAGCATACCTTATCGTTAAACAAAGCTTGCACAAGGGTAGACGTGTTGCATTCCCTTATTGTCGACTTCTTCATACTGGCATAGAAACTTCTGAGCTTGGGTAGATACTTCAACTCTATTTTCTTCAAATGGTGAAAAATAATAACTCCATCCATACCTTCTTGGTCATCTCTGACTATTTCCTCCATGATTTCACAAATACTTACACTTAATTTTTGGAGTTGTGAAAGACTTCTTGCAGCGGCTGAGGAAAAGAGATATATCATTTTACAGTTTTCAACATCTAACAAACTTAATTCACGAAATGAAACAGATCCGCATAGTCCCTTAGGAACATTCTCTCTCAAGTCTTCCAAATACAGTACTTCAGCTTTCTCCATCAAAATGTTAAGCTCCTTCTTCAAAGGGAAACCCACTACTTTCAATATCCTTGTTGCTGATGAAGATCGCTCCCAAAAACTAAGCTTGCTCCTAATGGATATTTGAAATCTGTTCAACGACTTAAACAGGGGCTCAATGCAACGCAGCAGCTGTAACGTTACATCTGGCACAAAAACTTGTAAACTGATTATGTGCTTCAATGAGTTTAGTTCATTAAGACTTGCATTGTCTTTAACCCCCCATTGGTCAAACTCATTTGGAATGTACAATTCCTCAAGTTGGGATAGACTTGATATGACACCAGAGGGAATGATCTTGAGATTGTAACAGTACCTCACATCCAACAACCGCAAGCGAGTCAACTGGCCTATTTCTGGAGCCAGTTCTCTTAGATCAGAATCTTCAATGCATAGTATCTCAAGTTTTTTAAATTCCTTGAGAAAAGCTACCTTCACCAATTTGCAGTTGTATAGACATAACATCCTAAGATTTTTAAGTGACGACGGTAGTTCCGAAATCTGCATGTTACGCAATTGTAAAACTTCAAGCTTTTCCATCCCTTTAAAAAAGCTACTTGGAACTTCTGATGAAAGATTGCGGAATTCCAACATTAAGGTGCATACTTCTGTACATTCTGAATCATCCGGAAGCACACAAGCATCATTTAACCTTAATGAGATTGCTTTGCATTGTTTATATTCATCCTCATCTGGCCACTTCTCCACACCAGCTTTCACTAGAAACATGGCATCTTTCTCTTTTGATGCAATTGAAATCGCCACATCTCGAATGACATCATGCATTTTGACAAAGTTTTCACCCCTACCATTTAACAACAAGTTAGATTCCTTGAGGATATCAATCAACGTGCGCGTTCGGTCTCTTGCTATTTCCATTGATTCTCTATTTGTGCCTTTAAGAAATCTCGTTCCTACAGCATATTTCACCAAATCGTCAATACAAATTTCAGCATCTTCAGGAAACAAACAGCAATGCAGAAAGCATGGTTGCAGGTCTTCCAGCATCGGATCATTCAGCTTCAAATACTGGTAGCTCAACTCTATGCATGAATAGACTTTCTTTGACACTCCTGGAATATTATATCCCATGGAATGTTTCAATTGATGAAGGGCACTATTCCATGCATGCATTTTGGCAGTATTCCATGCACGCATTTTTTTTTTCTGATGTGGCAATGCTTTTCCAACTGTAACTATGGCCAAGGGCAAACAATCACATTCACTACACACTTCTTTCGCTATAGAATGCAATTCAGGATGTTCGGTAAAATCTCCTACAGTTTTCTTAAATAAGTCCAATGCTTCATGTTCCGACAAGACCCCAATTTCGAACTCCTTTTCCGCCATCTGAAGGCACACCTCTTTTCTCCGGGAGGTCAAGAAAATCTTGCAGCCCTTGGTACGATTATCAGCAGCGGGTATTCCAATATCCTCCAACTTAATTTCATTATTCCAAACATCATCTACCATTATAAGAATCCTTTTACCATTTCTCAATCTATCGCATATTTGCTTCTTACTCGCATTTTCAGGCTCTTTCATATTCAAACTTTTGGCGAGCTTTTGTTGAATATCTTCCAAAATTGGATTCTGGGAGACAACTATCTGGGTGACCTCATCGAACAGGCTCTCTGTGTGGGCTTGTTGGGCAACTTGTTCCATCATCCTTGTCTTTCCAACACCAGGCATTCCGTGTATCCCAATCTTGTAAGTCCCATCATCTTTTAGTGCCTTCATGATCTCCTCAAAAACAAACTCCCTGGATTGAAAACTCTCATAGTTCATGCTGTACGTCTTCTGGAAAGTAACAGTGGGAGGACGTTGGTATCCAAAATCGCCAAAATTGTTGCCATCGACTATAAGCTGGGCGACATCAGGCTTCTTCTTTTTTCCTTCCTTACCCAATCGGTAGCGTGAGCAAACATCAAGACACTTGAGATTATCTTTGCTTTGGAGTAATCTGCTCTTGTCATCTTCCATGCTCTGCACTTTCCTCCGCCACTCCAAAACATCATCGTGAAGGACTTCATCATTGCTCTCGGCTGCATCAACCTTTACCTGGACCCTTGCCTTGGTAAGGCTGAG